AGCGAGGGTATGCAGCGAGGAGTTGCCGGTGTTTCAGGCTTAATTTCTTTAGGCTTATCCTACGACTGATTATGTACGAAGCTGACGGACACGGGCCCGTAAACACTGAAACAAAACTATCTTCGGGGATTCGGGAAAGGAGTGTCATGGCAGAATCTGTGGAGTGCACGTATCGATGACAAATCGGCACTGAGTTCCGCGAGGTCAATAGCGCGGCATTGTTGAGACGGGCTCATCGTCAAGCACCCAGTGAGTTACGCTTGGAGTCGCAGCTGATATTGTGAGCGGAACAAACCACCGGGTAGTGCAGCCGCTTGTGCATTGCATGTATTTTGATCGACAGTTTCTCCGAGGTGCAACTTATGCAGACTTCCGTTAACTTCGGAATATCAATGTACAACGCGCAGCATTATTTAATTTTGAACAGCCATACGCATTCAGCAACTTAGTCACTTCAACAAGATTCAAGCAAATTTACAAACTTGAGTTAATTACGGTAGCCAGGCAGACCTAGACGTATAGTTAGTGGGGCAACACAACAGCAACATAACGAAATTGAATGGACCAAATCAAATAGGTTAGTCTAGGTGTTACTAGATGAACTTGCCCCGTGAATTAACATGTAAGACTCTATGAGCTCTTATGTTTCCGTTGGAATAGAATGTTGGTTCATATTCCAAGATTTATTGATCGCATGCAACAGACTTCTCCAACAACATCGTCACGTTGGCGTAGCTCAAGCCGGTGTCCGTTACCGTGTCGGCGGCAGGTTTGCCTTCTGGGAACCAAAGGAAATCCGGGTGGTCGTCGTTCGACTTGTTCAGCCATTCACCACCAATGATCTGGTCGACGCCGTCCATTTCCAAAAGGTACTCGTAGTCCTCCCCGGTTCCAGTCTGTTCGTCAACTTCCGCTTCGCGACCAGCAAACGTCGCATTGCTCCACGACAAACGTGATTTCACATGCACAATGCTCTTGGCGGCCTCGTTCCAAGGGTACGCCTTGAGACCATAGAAGGTCTGTGCAGCCTCCTCCGGAGTCATGACCTTCTGGTCATGCACCTTGAAGCCGTCAACGGGCTGGGTCCACACCTCGTAACTAGCGTATCTGTCGATGATGAAAGTGGATTTGTGTTTACCAAGCATGTTGGCAGCGGCGATGTGGAAAAACCCGGGGTTCAAGTCACGGTACGCGGGGTCTTCATTCCGACCATACTTGTCAATGGTGAAGTTCCCCCCGTTGTAGCGAACGCCTGTGAATACGGTGGAAATATTAGCTGTATCGTAGATTCCCATCAATAGTGCTTTAATGTCCAAGGGTTTGAACGTCACACCATTGAACGTCACAGGGCATTTGGGTTCCTTCTCTAGGATGGAGGCTGGTGCCCACGCATGGGCCAAGGCGAGCCACGCCGGGATGCAATAGCCCGAGCTCGCCTCCGCACGAATGCCGCAATATTCCCATGGAGTGTCGCACTCGCTGTCCGAGGTGCACGCAATGCTGTAGTTCATGGAGTCAACGCCACTGCTGGCCGACACGCTGTCCATGAGAGTTTTCACGTCGAAACCGAAGGCCGTCGCATACTTCTCGGTAGCACTGGGCTGGCCTCTGTCCCACTGATAGTTAATACTATCGTTAACGGTGAACCAGAGCAGGCTGTTCCACGGAGACGGGGTGTACGTAGCTGAGGTGGGCAAGTTTTTCAGCGTCGTCTCCATTTTAGTGCCGAAGGAGTCTTCCAGTTTTTTGATATCGCCATCTAACGCGGTCTCTAGCTTGCGACTCGTTGCTTTCGCCAGTTTTCCTTGCTTGATGACAACACAATTGCTGTCCTCTTCAATCTCGCTCCCACGACCAGGAAAATTCTTGTTGCCGAGGTCGTACGAGTCACAAATGGTGATGGGGTCTTCATGCAGTGGAGAGCCCGTTGCCAGACTGAGCTGTAGAGCCACGAGGGCGATAGCAGCAGAAGTGAGATGGACACGCGTCAAGGAGACCATGGTTGGAGTGTACTGGTAGTTCTTGTTGTTGTCGAAGAAATTGGAGAATGAGCAACCTGCCATGGAATCTCGAGCATACGGTGAATGTGGCGAGCAGTTAGGCACGGTGTTCTACGAATAAGTATAATCTTGTCAAACCTAGTAACGGTTTTTATGTCGTTCCATGGTGTAGGTTGCGATTACGGATTGTTGTCCCGTTAACGAGGAAATTTCCAAAAAACAGTACAAAGTA